GACAATTGAGAGCAAACAGGTCCCAAAGAAGAACACGCACACACACATTGCAAAACAGATCACGTCGGCCGTGGTGAAATGCACGTGGATCGTGAGATTCGTCTATATGCCTTGATGGTTGAGTCGTCCGAAGCTGGTGGCGGCCACCGACTAGGGCTAGCCACGTGGAGTCAGACGAGAATGGAGCCAGAATGGTCATTCGGCCAAAATGGCCATGGGCCATCCTCCTCCAAGGAAGATGATCCTCATCCCGTTGTTCCTCCTTATCCTCCTCATTCTCCTCTGTTCCTCCTCCTCCGCTCCCCACTCCTCAGAGGAGGTCCTTATCATCCTCGCCATCATCGCCACTATACCATCACCATCATCCTCTTCATCATCAGCATAATCATAATCACCCTCTTCATCCTCATTATCCTCCTCCTCCTCCTCATCATCATCATCGTCATACGTGTCATGATCATCAGCATAATCAGCATCAGTATGCTCGTCATCAGAAACATCATCACCCTCATCATCACCAACCGCAGAAACATCATCAGCAGCAGCAGCATCATCATCATCATCATCATCACCTTCATCAGCATCATCATCATCATCATCATCATCATCAGCATCGCCATCATCGTCATCGTCACCAGCAACGTCATCATCGTCGTCATCATGACCATCTTCATCGTCGTCGTCATCGTCATCGTCATCATCGGCATCATAATCGACATCAGTATCGGCATTGGCAGCAGCATGGTCAGCATCAGCATCATCATAATCAGCATCATCATCGTCATCAGCATCATCCTCAGCACCAGCATCATCGTCATTATCATCATCAGCATCATCATAATCACCGATCTTACCATGATCATCATCATCAGCAGCATCAGTATCATCACCAGCATCATCACCATCATCATCGTCGTCATCTTCATCGGTGTCTTCATTGTCGTCGTCATCGGCATAGTCATCATGGGCATCGTAATCAACATCAGCGCTGGCACCATCAGCATCATCAGCATCAGCATCATCATCATTATCAGTATCATCATCAGCATGATCATCACAATTAGTACCATATCATCATAGTCATCAGTATCGTTACTAACATCATCATCACCATCATCAGCAGCAGCATCAACATCATCATCAGCAGCATCATCAACAGCATCGTCGTCATCA